TATTACAACACTGATGTGTTTTTAATAGCACGACGGCTCTCCTCAACTTCCATACAAAAGGTGGTCCTTCACTGGGGATGATTTAGTGCATAACATTAAATATTATGAATTCAAATGTTGAAAAAAGTAAAAGTAAAATCACTCTTAACACCAAAATTGATTAATGTAACAATATTATATTTCAAGGAAGTAAAAAAAAAAAAGTCTAGTATAGCATATCATATTCGGAGAAAAACGGTATTAAAAAATGACGGCTAAAAAAGGTGTGTTGTTATCTTGAGAAATAGCGATTCATATGAAACCGAAATAATAGACAGGCCACAATGCTGGAGTGTGAGGAAATTACAAGAAGCGGCAGTAATCTTTTTGGATAGATGTTGGAATTCAGCATAGTTTGAATTTCAGCAAATCTCTTTGCTCGAAAGTGGTGAGGAGATCGCCTGCTTGTATAAATTTGGAATCACTTAGCTGATGTCGAATGTGTGGCCTGCGTTGCCGGTAATGAATTGAGGGCTAGTTGCTATATTTGCAACGTTATTTATTCCCTGTTTACCAATTCGTTCTGTACAAAATAACTATTCTCTGTATTTTTTTTATTTGTTTACTTTTTGTATATTTTCCAGATTGCATTTCTGAAAAAAAAAAATCGTGGAAGGTATTAGTCGAAACATAAAAAATATATAAAAATGAAATAAAAATAAATAAAAAAATAAATAAAATTACATAGAATGAGTTTAATTATTCCAAAAAAACAAAAACCAAAAAAAATACAGTAGATTTCGAATGGAAAGCTAAAAAAAAAAAAAAAATGGCTATTTTATGCTTTTCTTCATTATTACCATAGCAAGGAGATTTTCAAGAAACTCAAGTCTCGGGTATGTGTGCATGCGTTGGAGAAGGTGTCGGGGGTGGGTACAGTCATATAATTTAAGGCTTTTAAAGCGTGATGGTCAATTAACATGCATTAATCACCTTCCCCCGCCTCCGCTCCATGCCGTAGGATGCAAAAGCCGCAAACGATATTAAAGGGAGTGCTGACAAGGAATGTCATTATCTGATTGGCCCATAAAAGATGAGTCAAAAGGTATCGTCCTGTTTCCTTACCAATTTTTGCTTCTTTTTATTTATTTATTTGTTTATTCACCTCGATTTTATACTAGCTGACCGACCCACTTTATACAAGTTCAGGCTATTATTAAAAAAAAAAAGAAGAGAAAATCGTCTTTTCACTGGTGAAATAATATATTCTGTTTACAAAAGAATGGAGATGCAACGTTCTAGATTTTTTTGCCTTTTATTACCTTTTTTTCTTTTTTTTTTTTTTTTTTTTTTTTACTTAGTCAAAGTTGTGTTTGCTTCCACAAAAAGCGAGCGAGGTTTATACTGCAGACCTAAATTATAGTTTCTCGAAACGGAACCAGTACGCTCAAAATCTCGGTCACAATGACTTGTGACTTCAGGCTAGCATGAATAGTTCCACCTACCCAACTCTTACTCACAAAGCTTGGATTAACTCACGGTAGGGCTTAAAGAAAACTGTGTCGCATGCTGATTGATTCGTTTACTACGGCTTATTAACCCTTTTCAGGTTATTTAAAGCCAGTAAATATATTCAGATTTTGAATTTTTTTTTAGATAATAATAGTTTAGTGATACAAGTTTTACTAATTAACCCGTAGCTAGGGGGAGAAGAGGTGGATTCAAACCTTTCCCAAGAATATTTGCGCGCAAGTGAATATAACGAACCCAACAGGAATTAGAAACCGGCTATGCGATTAACAATCCGAAGCCGTTATCCTTTACACCACCCGCACATCCAAGCTTACAGCACCTGATATTCCCAAGTGGTCACCCATCTCGGCACTGACCAGGCTAATTTTATTTACAAAGACTGTTCGACTTAAAAGCGTTAACATTTCTTTTTCGAAACATTATTATTATTATTATTATTATTATTATTATTATTATTATTTCCTTTAATTTCTGTTGTATACACATTTCTTTCGGATCCCAACCAGAGACCTAAGGTCAGAAATGGCTTCATGTCATTTTCCACTGATCATTTTCGCAAAAAACAAAACAAAGTAAGGTCCCACACATTTTACATAGATAAAGCTCTTCGTGATGTGGGAGCTGTACAAATTGAGAGTACAAATTTTTGTATTTCTTTAAGGCATAGGCCATCAGGAATGCCTTCAATGTGTTAATCGGAACCTTTTCTAACCAATCCGAGAGATCCAAGTACAACAGATCCTGTCTCTGTAACCGGGCCTGGGTGATGTTCACACCAGTTTCTTTCAGTTTCCTTCCCGTAAACGTTGGATATTTTACAATGCAGATATTGGCACACTATCATGCCGAGTTTTATATTCAGTTGGAACTGCAACCTGATACAACATGGTTAATTGTTTCTGGATATTTATCATAAAATCTACATTTGGAGCCAATACAATTTTTCAGTATGTGTGTTTGGTAATTTCTATTTCGTAAGCATTGGTCCTGTGCAGCAAAAATAAAACCTTTGGTTTCAGCTTTTAACCCTGCATTACGTAACCACTAATGGGTACAGGGTTTGTCTATATAAACTTGTTTGGTACGGGCAGAGTATTGACCATGAAGAGGCTTTTGTTATCGTTTCTGCATCGAGCCAATTACATTTCCTTTGCTTTCTTTTTTTAGGCGCTTTGCCGCTGCAGTAGGTGTATGATAGCTTATTTGCATTATCATTATTATTATTATTATTATTATTATTATTATTATTACATAATGACAAGCTAATTGCGAATTTGAGAAAATATTACTCGAAAACAATACACTCAATGCGTTATTCATTCATCGTAATAAGTCCGTCCATAATTTTGACTTAACAAATGTAGTTTTGATTAAGAGAGAAGATAATTTATTAAAACGAAAATGTATTCAATTTACGCTAATTTCGAAATTCTCTGCGGTAAATTTACATCCAGAAACATACAATAGATTACTTTCCTCCCAAAATAACTGCTGTTAGAAGGGGGGGGATGATTAAAAACAACAGTGATAGAAAGGCGAATGAGATCGTGTAAGTTAATAATTAAGCTATATCTATCGATGATATATATATATATATATATATATATATATATATATATATATATATATGTTTTTGTGTTTATATTTCTGAGATGAGGTATTATGTACATTATTTACATTATTCTGACTATTGTCCTCATCCTTGTCGCCATATTTATTACAACGTTTCGGTCGTTGTACGCTCCGGCCTTCTTCAGGTGGCTGGAATGTCGAGCTGAACCCTTTATTTCGCTCACTGTTCTAGTTCCACTTGCCATGTTTTAATGGATGTCAGTTATCAGTTATACTCCTGTTAATTCCCCTCTGAAAGTTCTCCACTGCCTTAACCGGGTATTAAACTCACACTCTTTGGGTCTTGTCACTGGATCAACGCCTTTATTCACTGTGCCACTGTGACATGTTTCCTTGTGGACACATGTCACAGTGGATAAAGTGTGAGTTCAATAATGAGCGTACAACGGCCGAAACGTTGTAATAAATATGGCGACAAGGATGAGGACAATAGTCCGAATAATGTAAATAATGTAATAATATATATATATATATATATATATATATATATATATATATATATATATATATATATAAGTATTACAAGTTTGTGACTCATAGGGATAATTCCAAGGAGAGCTCAATGTAGACTACAGAGCATTATAATATTTTAGTATTTTCTGTAGTTGTGAGAAATATCATTAAAATTCAAATAGTTCTTCAGACGAAATGACATTTTTTGGAATATAAATCAGATTAGTGAAGAATGAAAGAATAAAAAATATATACTGAATTTTTATTAGTTACTAGTAGAGTATATTCTTTTTAATTTTATAATTATGAACAAAAAATTTTCAGTTTTTTCAACACTTGCAACGTTAACCCTAACCATAAAACTAAATATAGTTTCCAAAGGACAATTTTGCTTTCGTTCGTTCTTTAATACGGTTGTAGCAGCAGCAGCCGCATAAATCAGCGTTATTTATTACCTCCCTTTATTACTTTTTACTACATCATAAAATCAGTTTACGAACCAGTAACAAACTTTTACCAAACAATTTTGGTATGCTTTTGAATATTTACTATACAGATGGGCAGTGAAATATTTTTCAATGTGAAAGTGAGCGAGGAAACAAAAAAGTCTGGGAAGACCCTGGATGTGTGGTTGGTGTAATGGATAACGAATTGGAAGTCGGAGATCCACGTTTCAATTCTAGTTGGCTTCGTTATATTCACTTACGTATTAATACCCTTGGGAAATGTATGAATCTAATTTTTCTCCCTCCTTAGCTTTGGGCTAATTAGTAAGACTTGTATCACTAAATCAATATTATCTTTAAAAATATTTTTACAATCTAAACATATTTTCTGGTTTTAAATAACCTGTAAAGGGTTGATAAGCTGTAAAAAAATGAGTGAATAAATCATTGAATAAAATACCGATGCTAGAATAATATGGTTTAATCGACACAGGAAGTTGACATAGTATTTTACATGAAATATTTGGCGCTTCTGACGAGAATGAGTTTTCAAAATACCTTGCTTATCACCAAAAAACCGTAGCGTCATGGGTAAGACGATAAACTACGTCCAACAGCAAGGCCTCTGATCAGGAGGTTTTAGGGAGCGTGGAACGACCTCTTAATTTCTGGTGTTCCTAGGTCCATCCTGACTCGGGCTGGTAGCAACTGTTAGGGTCCCAGCTATGGGCAAATAGTTAACACCCAAAATCGGGTCAAAATACCATCAAAGTGTAAAAATAGATTTAATACCACCAATAAATTTTTGTAAAATATATTACCAGTAATGCTTTTTTGAAAATATTACCAGCAATACATTTTGAAGGAAAAAAGATATTTCCAGCAATAAAAATCTTGTCGGCATTAAATAACTCATTGAGGTTGATATGCCGTAAAACAAAACAAACCAATATATACTGAGATAGATAGATATAGATAGATAGATAGATAGATAGATAGATAGATAGATAGATAGATAATATTACCAGCAATAAGAATCTTGTCGGTATTAAATAACCCATTGAGGTTGATATGCCGTAAAACAAACCAAACCAAACCAAATCAAACTTGTCTTACATCGAGATTCGATTAGATATCTAACTTGTATGCTGATTTTCAAAATCAGTTCAATCCCTGGGCTGGGTAGTACACATGCAGCAGTATCTAAGAAGTACGAAAAAAAGAGGACATTGGGTTTAAAGACGAAAATAGTTAAATATTTAATGCAAAGCTTGACCGAAACAAATTACGCCATCTTTCTTTTACTTCTTACATTAACTGAAAGTTTTTTTTTTCATTGAAATTCATTTATTTTTCCTAAATTAATTTTTACTCTCTGTATTTCAATAAAATGTATGTATATATATATATATATATATATATATATATATATATATATATATATATCTTTCAATAATTTAAACATGTCCCTCAGATAACAAAAGAGAAATTCCAAGTATTACCAGCAATAGATTTTTTGGGAAAAATATTAACAGTAATAAAAATCTTTTTCGGCATTAAATAACCCATTTAGATTGAAATGCCGTAAAACAAACCAAACCAATATTTACTGAGATAGATAGATAGATAGATAGATAGATAGATAGATAGATAGATAGATAAAAATATTACCAGCAATAAAAATCTTGGCATTAAATAACCCATTTAGGTTGATATGCTGTAAATCAAAACAAACCAGACCAAACCAAAACAAACCGTAGTCAAATGAACGTTCGGAATTTTTGGTTTTGAATTTCTTCGGCCGTGAAGAATATGTATGTCGCCATTGCATGTGCTATCGTCAGATTTCCATATCATTGCGGTGTAATCATGTTTCATAAATAAGTGACAAATTGTTCGATAAAATTATCACTCGATCGCTGAACATACTATACAATCAACGTGGAGGTGTCTAAACGATATCGTTTCCAGTCGGAATTCAAACATTTTGGCGCCCAATTGTCTGGCAGCCAATGCACAAGCAACTATTCATGAATTATAAACCCCGCCCCCTTGAGATCTTTAGTGTCTCAGCAATTCTTTTGGTCGAGTTTCATTGATAGGCCAGAGTTAGGTTACAGACATGATCAATAATTTCAGGAATTGACATCGTTGATGTACAACATCGTTTATCGCCTGAAATAGGATAGAAAAATGAATTCAGTAAACACACAAAAACGGAAAAGGGCGCAAGACAAGGTGGAGTCTTCTCGCCGGACTTATTCAAGCTTCACAGTGCGGCAATCTCGAGAGTATTGGAAGTCCTACCAGGATTCAACATTGACGGTCAATAACTTAGACAAGTGATTCTCAACCTTTTTCAGCCCATGGACCATTTTTTTCTTCAAAAATTCAAATGGACCACTGCTACTTTTACTTTTAGGCTGTTCAATTTTCAGATTAAAATACTCAATGAAAAGTAGTCTATTTGCACTTTAAGATTTATTTTAGTAAACAAGGATAAGCACAGGATATCAAAAACAATTTCGATGATTTTGTCCATTCATCTAGAGACTACATGGTTTTCTCTCGTACATTCATATCTGCTCGATGCGTATCCAAATGTAATAAAAAATGCAATAAAATAATTATCGGACTTTGTCCATTTCATAATGTGTGACGTCATTTGTTTACATTTGGATACGCATCGAGCAGATATGAATGTACGAGAGAAAATCATGGAGAATTGTAGTTTAAAAACAGTAAAATCGACCTTGCTAACCAAACGTTCCTCTGTGGCTCAATCGGTAAAAGCACGTCAGGCTATATGACGGTTCCGTATAGGATACAGGTTCGATTCCTGTCGGAGGACGAATATTTTCTATGAAAATTTCTCGGACATTCAAGTCGGTAAATGTCGTTAATACTGTTTATTATAAACAGAGCATTTACTTAAATATTTGTATCTATAAAAAGAACGTATAAACATAAAAAATGTCTTAAAATTTATATATATATATATATATATATATGATAAAAATAAAGTAAATATAGCACTGTATAATATAAATGTATTATGCAGTGCTATATATATATATATATATATATATATATATATAGATAGATAGATAGATAGATTTGTGTATTTAGGCTGTAATCCTTCTTTCATGCACATTTCATTGGTAACGACAGACAAGGGGCTTTTATTTAGTTTTTTTATACAATTTCTCAAGCGATCTAATATTTTTTTTCTTTTCGGATGATAAATTTTATAAAAACTGTCAGAATGTTCTTTTTATCCTAGCGCTTTCGGCTATACATTTAGCCATTTTCAAGGATTATATTTTAACTGTTAAAATATATATATTTATAAATGCATGTAATTTCAAAATTTTCAAATATAATGGACATGTGTGTAATTAAACAAAATATTATATTTTTTAATTTTTCAAAGTATGCATAATTTAAATACATTTTTGCGAAACGGCTACAATTTTTTTATGGCTTCGAATTTTCTGTGGACCACTAGAAACGCTATGTGGACCACCTGGGGTCCACCTGGACCACGTTGGGAATTACTGCCTTAGAATATAAGATATGCAGATGACAGTCTTGATAGCAGACACAAAATGGAAACTACAAGAGCTTTTACAAAAATGACTAACCATAAATTGTAATGACTAACCATTAATTGTAATGACTAATCATAAATTGTAATGACTAATCATAAATTGTAATAAGACAGAATATATGATTGTCAGGAGAAGGGGCAACTCAGGGTGTGAACTGCGAATTAGAGACACGAGAATCAAGCAAGAACAACATCTTAAATATCTAGGAAGGGTTTTAATAGAGGACGAAAAATCTTTTCTTTTTATGTGCTGTGTCCTTTCATGACATAGATGATCATGGCTCTCCAATTCTCCCTATCTCTTGTAATTCTCAATAAGTTTCGTCCCTCAGCCACCTACCTCAGACCACGTTCTGTCATCCACTTGCTTAAGCCCACCAGTTATCTCGTGCGTTGCTTTGCCTTGTCTCTATTTCCCTCTATTCGACCTGTGAGTATCAGATTCTCAGGCCCTCCTTTCTCATTATGTGTCCCAGAAATTCCATCTGCTGATGTACAAGCTTCGTCCTTGTTTGCATCCTCTCTATCATTGTTCAAACGCTCGATCCATGATATCCTCAGCATCCTTCTGTAGAACCACATCTCCGTCGCCTTGAGTCTCTTCTTCATCGGAAAGTGTATATGATTTGGTTTGCTTAACGGCATATCAACTCCTTCATGTGCCATTTAATGTCCAACTTTTCATGGGAGCTTTTGTAATTTAGTTTAAGTTTATATTTTTAAAAAATGTGTTGCTGCTAATTTTTCATAAAATATATTGCTAGTACTTTTACTATAAAGATATATTTTTATATTTTCATAACGTTTTAGCCCCACGTTTGTCTATAGCATGGACCCTAACAGGTGCTACCACCCCTGGTCAGATCGTAGCAGGGAATAACAATAATTAAGAGGTGGTTTGACGATCATCAAAACCTCCCAGTCAGAGGCCTTGCTGCCAGATGTAGTTTATCGTCATACCTAGGACAACCGAAAGCGTATTGAAACAGCGAATGATGACTTCCAAAAGATAAGCAAAGTATAAAGAAACCGCAAAATCTCGTTATAAACAAAGAGAATAGTACTGAACTGTTATGTAATATCAGTCCTCCTATATGATAGTGAATGTTAGACTATTGCCTCACAGATGAAGAATAGACTTGATGCGACAGAAATGTACCTCTACAGAAGGATGTTGAGAATATTATACAGTAAAATTTTTAAGCAAAATGGAAACAAAAAGAACGCTTATCAAAAAGAGTCAGTTGAAATTTCTAGGGAACATAAGGAAAGAGGGTTTAGAAAATTTAACACTCACAAGATGCAAGGCAAGGCGGACAGAGGAAAGCAGCGCTTAACGTATCTAGCAAGCTTGTGTAAATGGTTGGAAGACCAGAGATTAGGAGGAGTAGCAAAAAAGACAAACTTGACATAAGAACTACAAAGGATAGAATACTGTGAAGAGCCGTGATCGCTTATGTCTTGAACTAACACGGTATAAAGAAGAAATATTGGGCCTCCAAAATCTCCATACTGGAAGTTGGTACTTTACTTTCTAATTGTCACTTGGACATTCATGGGATTTCTTTGGAATTTTTTTCTTGCAGTCACATGAACTTCGTGACGGCCGCACAGTAGAAAATGTCAGACTTTCCGTAGACATAGTTTAGAACAGTGATTCGCAACTGATTTGGGGCGATGCCTCACTTTGGTATTTCTAAAATTCTGGCGCACCCTGTAGTATTTAATTCTTACATGTTCAAGATTTTACTGCACTTCGCGTAAAGGAAGCTTAAAAGACCATTGACTTGGTCTCTAAACAAACCTCCAAAGATCATAGCGTCCATGAAAGAGAAAAATTAAAAACAAAAAACAAAAGGACAGTTAAATATATATCGTTTCAAAATATATAATAGAGGAACTGAAAGGCAGAAATATAAAATATTTGAATGAAAGTTTATTAATATACTCTGATCAATTTAATCATGAAATAATAATGCATGATGAAATATGAAATTTCTAGGGAACATAATGAGGACAGAAGGTTTAGAAAATTTAACACTCACAAGATACAAGGCAAAAGGAACAGAGGAAAGCAGCGCTTAACGTACCGAACGAGCTTAAAGACTTTAGTTTTTACAATGAATCGTTTCAGAGCACGCAGAAGCACTTCCATATATTCGACGTGTTCTAGCCTGACTCAGGCACAGGGTGTATCACCGATAAAAACAACGCCGAATAGTTCCTTAGTGACTTCACTTAGTCTATAAAAATTTTCATCCAACCTTTCAGAGGTCATTATCTTATTTTAATCCTATTGGATTTCTAACAAACCTCATCACCAGAAAAGACTGGTGGGGGAACAGGTTCAGCCGCTGAGGACCTGAACATGCAACGGGTAGTAGCCAATTGCCAGTAATAGCTGTATAGTTTTTCAACTAATCCTAAATTGTCCTACATTTTCAATGAATCTTAAATCGCTTAACGACTTTTCTTCTTAACATTCATAGTTAGAAAAGCATCTTTGCCGCTTCAAGTCTTTTCTTTATTTGCGATGAAATTATCTTACAGCTTTGAATATACACTCTTTTAGCGCTAGAGGGCGTCGTCAGTGATGTTCTGGAAATGGATCATTGGGCAGTTTCGGGTCTTTCAAACATCATACTGACCTCACCAAATCGACCCCCTCAGAGCTGATCAGACTCTGAAACGCCCTCTAAAAAATGCTTGTAGACACTGACTTCTATAAATATACCCCGTTATCACACATTTGATTGGAGATTGACCAATAGCCAATCACAACGGTGCGAAATCTGTTTAAGCCGTTTACGGGTGATTTTTTTCTTTTATTCATTTTTTTTTTCAGTGGACACCCTTTCATCGGATACTTAGAAGGTAATTATGTTTTCCGTTTTTACCCACTTCCTATCAAGTTTCATTTCACCAGCTAATAATTACTATTTACAGAGATAAAAAAAAAAAAATACTGCCATGAGGGAGATTAGAAATTGCATGCAAGACAAGAATGGATTTTTTTTCCTAAGGATATTTTTCAGTTCTTTAATATCTTGCTCAAATTGTTATTTATAAAAAAA